CCACTCGAAACCCCCAGAAGAGCACCAGGAAGGCTCCGAGAGGCCGCAAAGAAGCCCAAAAAGAGCCCCAAAAGAACCCCACGACCATCAAACGAACCTCAAGAGGGCCCCAAGATGCCCCAAACGAGCCCCAAGAGGACCCCAAGACGCCCCATAGCTCCCAGAAGGCCTCCGATGTTCCAAGATAGCCTCCAACATGGCTCAACACGCTCCTCCCCCTCATCTCGTTGGCCGCTCTGCTTCACTATATGCGTTTCTGTTTTCCACTTCCCGTCAGTTATCGTGGGCAAGGTTTCTGAATGGACTGGTGGGGATTCGCGAACCGTGCACAAGTTGAAGCATCTGCTGATGCAGAAACTGACGGAACCTTTTCCGCGAGTCGTTCGGGAGATTGCTGGCCTGCGCCTGGAAGATGCTGGCGGCATACGGGGCCTGTTACCGCATGATATGTTGAAGCGCTGTGTCGAGCTCTGGCGGGAGACCTGGGAGAGGCTGCTGCACTTGAACAGGTGGCATTGGATGAACATGTTCGACTGCTGGAGCGGCGGCCGCGGCAGGTGCTGCTCCATGGGCAGCAGCTCCAGACACTCCTGCGGGTGTTCCTGGAGTGGCATGTACTTTGTCGAGGACAGCGTGTGCGGCAGGATGGGCGGCTCCTTGTGCAGGCTCTTGCGGTGGGAAAGTGGGTAAGTGTTCAAGTCGGCAGCCAGCTTCCATGGCTCTTGCCCTTGGAACGCGTCGTGTCGTAGTCCGTCGACTGAAAGGCCCGCAGAGGCGGTGCGAGCAGCAGAGCGTGCCGTGCGGGAGGAGCGCGGTGCAGCGCGGCCAGAAGAGCGACCAACGATGGCGACCTCGTCATGTGCGATGGTCCCGCGGGCGGCTTCAGCGCGAGGGCGATCTTCTTGGCGATGGGAACGGCCACGATGCCCAGCTTGGTCGCGATGTCCAGCTTCCTGGCGGCGGCGGCGTGAGGCTCGTGATGACGGAAAGCTGCAGGATGCCGATCGCTCGTTGCCACTGAAGCTGTCGCTGCGATCCACGGTGGCGGGGTGAGCACGAGGGAGGAGCTGAAACTGAGGTTTGCGATGGACTGCTGCGAGCCAGCGGCCAAGGGCAATGCGCTGCCAGTATGTGACGAGGTCAGCACGGTGTCAGGCACGGCGGGTATATGGAATCTCGGAGCGGGGCTCGGCGAGACGATATGGAAGCTCGGAGCAGCGCCCGGCCTGGAATGCCAGGAATGAAAGCAGGATTGGGAGGTAGCTCGTTTTGGTGTGGCTGCGAGAAGGCGAAGAATGGCCGCGGACTAGCAGTACCCATTCCCGTGAAAGGACCCAGCACAAACATCTGGAGCAAAAATGGCTACGGAGAGGATCAACAGGACGAGGAGGAGGAGGAGGAGAAGGAGGAGGAGGAGGAGGAGGAAGGCGACGACGACGACGAGGACGAGGAGGAAAGGAAGGAACGGGAGCAGGAACAGGACCAGGAAGAGGAGGACGAGGAGGAGGAGGAGGAGGAGGAGGAGGAGGAGGAGGAACCGTCTCCGCGCGCACGGCCTCGGAGGCGCCCCCGCCAGAGCGAAGCAGAGCCGACCGAAGCGGGGCCGCCACCCGAAGCGAGGCGCGCATCGGAGCCGCTTCGCTGCGGGCACTGCGCGATACGCACAACGCTCTCGGCACCGCCGCTCGCGGAGAATCGGGGATCTTCTGACCCGGGTCAATCCCGACCCGGGTCAGCAGGAAACCGACAAACTGCAATGCAGGGGAAAAAAAAGAACTGCAACGCAGGTCTTCGCAAACCCAGGTCAACCAATTTGCGCAGCCGCCTCGCGGCCACGAGCGGCTCGCTAACCCAGGTCAGCCAGAGGGGGTCTTCGCAAGATCCTGCAGGATCCGGTGCCCTGGCTGACCCCCGTTTGCACTGACCCCCGTCTCTTAGGCCCCGAGAAAAGTCGGTCGTCCATCTTCTGGCCACACGCAGGAGTGGCCCCAGGCAGGAGTGACCTTTGGTGCGCGGGTCAAAGGGGGGACGTGGCAGGCCGCGTCCTCGCAGATCGGACGCGCGTCGCGCAGTGCACGTTCGCGTGGCGACGCCGCGCGGGCCCCGAGCAATGCCGTCCCGCTTGACAGGGGGGGATGTCGGGCGTTGTGGGGCGACTGGGGGGCGGGGGGGGGATGCGGCGCGCCCCGGGCGGCGCGAGGTGGCCAAAAATCCATGCGCACAGGCCGCTGCTCTCGCATCGTCGATCGGGGGGGGGCCCGCTGGGCCCGCACCAAAATGTCACTCCGGCGAAGGGTCTCTCTCTTGCGTGCAGTCGAACCTTGGTCACACATCCATCTTGGTCACCGTCGATTCGTGGACAATTCCCGCGAATCGGTGACGGCCGGCATGGGCCGCGACCAAAATCGGCGCCGACAAGATCCCGCGACATCTTGGTCACGGCCATTGTGTCTCTTCCCTCGAGGGGGGCCGCAGGAGAGCGGCTCCTCCGAGGGCGGCGGCCCTTCCTGCTCCAGAGGCCCCATGCCACAACAACAACTTACACAGCGCACAAAGGGGGAACCTTTCCTTTTGCAAAATACACAACCCGAAGCAAAAACTTGAACCGCGCAGAATACTCTGCACTGGATCCTGGCGCGCACCTCGAGAAGGAGAAGGCGGAGACAGAGGAGGAGGAGCAAGAGGAGGAAGATGAGGAGGAGGAGGAGGATCTGCACGTGGCAACCGACGTCGTTCAACAAGTGCCCAGAGGGGGCATGCCAGTAGATCGAACGTCCGCTGCTGACTGTTGAATCGGCCGCGAAGTGGTGCGTTCCAGACACGTAACGAGAGGGAAGGAGGACGAGGATGAAGGGGAGGAGGAAAAGGACGAGAAGGAAGGGGGAGGAGGACAAACGATGAGGGACGATGATGATCAGGCTGCACGTCGGGCGCGCGAGGGAGTGGCGACGTAGGATGATGATGAGGGGGACGAAGACGGCCACAACGACAACGACGCCGACGACGACGCCGGTGCCGACGCCGCCGACGACGAAAACGCCGACGCCGACGCCGACGCCGACGACGACGTCGGTGAAGACGGCGGCGGCGACGACGACGGCGGCGACGACGACGGCGGCGGCGACTACGACTGCGACGACGCTGACGACGTCCTCGTCGTGGCCATCATCGCGGTCGTGGTCGCTGCGAGCGCGCAGCCGACACAACGGGCGGGGCGCCCCCGCGGTCTGCCCGAGGTCAGAAGACCAGCGGGAGAACGAGGAGGAGGAGGAGGAGGAGGAGGAGGAGGAGGAGGAGGAGACAGGACAGGACAAGGCATCCGCATAAGGGGGTCAACGTCGACACCTACACACAGGAGCTGTAGAGTACGACTCGCAAAATCCCCAGCGAATGGAATACGCAGCAGACCCAAACTAACCATGGTGGCCGGCACGGGGCATACCCCATAGCTTCAAGGGGCGAGCTCCGAGGTGGCCCCGTAAGATGGGCTCTCTACCTTGTGAGTGCGAGTCCCTGCGGGTCAGTGCGGGGGTGAGGGGCAGCTGTTGGCCGTCTGGCGTGCCCATGGCGACGGGGGCGCGCTGGGCGAGCAAGGCTCCCAAGCATGGGGGAGGGCGACGACGCGACCCCACTCGACGCATGGAAGAGAGGAGAAGATGCAGGAGGCCCCTTCGTGCCAAGCTTTGCTTGGGGGGGAATTAGATTCTACCCGCGACCTGCTGCGCCCGCGCTTTTAACAGAGCGCTTCCCTCTCTAAGACCCTTTCTCTTCGTGGACGTGCTGGCCGTTGGCTGAACCATGCAATGTCGTGTCTGAGTCAATTTCTGTGACGTAACGCTATGTATCAAAATTCGCTGTCGTATTCCAATTGCGCCTTGATATACCCCCTCCCTCCATTCGGCGTGTAAAGTAGGGGGCTTTCCAAATCTGTCTGTTGTGCGGAACACGTAGCAGTATCGTTTCGAGGGAGGAGGGGCCCTTAGGGATTACTCTCCAGTGGCCTTTGCGGTGGTCTCGTTCCGCACTCGTCGCCCCCAGTGGTGGCGTACCTGTCGGCGCCCCAAAAATACAAAGACGCTACTCTGTGCGAGCTTCTCTCCTGAGGATCCACGCGCCGAGATGCCCCCGTTAGTGGCGGTCCCTCTGAGCTTATATGTCGCTGCCGCGGCTGCGCCGTCCTGTCTGCCTGGGGTCGCACTCCGGATTATCCGCGCCAGTGTTCCTCCTGGCAGCGCAAGTAGTTTGCCCTCGCGCGCGGCCGCTGGAGCTAGCCGCTTCACCTGACTCGGCGTGCATCTCGAAGATCTCGGTGCCGTCTAGCGGGGTGCTCGTGCTATCGCGGGGCTCCTGACGTTTCTTGAGCCCTTCGACCTCCTGCTGCTCGGGGTCCACCGCTGACGTCAACTCCCTCATGGCTATCTCCATGACGCTATGTAGGTTATCCGTGTCGTTTGTTCGAGATCCGCAACGCAAGCTCGCACCAGTTGCGCGTCGAGAAGAACTTCCTTCCTGCTGCTTCCCACATGTCAGCTGGGTACTTTGCAATCAACGCGCAGCCCTTGACTTGGTGCGTCATCGGGAAGGAAGGTGGGATCAGCTCGTACAGTTCCTCAAGGCTCATCTTCTGGGCCGCGTCGTAGGAGCTTGTAGCGGTTCCCTCTGGTGGCGTCGTCGAACGCTTGCGGCAGCCTCTCAGCTACGAGCGCTTCCCCCTTGTCGCCTACCTTGAGCTCCCCCACCATGGACGGCCCATGTTTGTGCAAGTGGAACCTCGGCTTGCAGCCGATCTCGGGCCACTTCTCGTAGTCCTCGTTGAAGTCCTTCTTCATCTTGTCCACCCATTCTTTCATGAGCTAGGAGGGGGAGAACGAGGACGAGGAGGAGGAGGAGGAGGAGGAGGAGGAGGAGGAGGAGAGGGCGCGCAACAAAAACGCCGACAGGCCGCAGCTGAGGCCAGGCGGGCTGCCCGATGGGTGGCGGCGGCAGCCGGAGGGGCCCGCCTTGGGAGGCTTCTCCTTCTTGGGGGCGGCGGGCTCCCTGGAGGGTGCGGTCTCCTCGAGGGGAGGGGCTCTCGCACGGCTGCGGGAGTCTTCCTTCTCCTCCTCCTCCTCCTGCGTCGTCCACCTCCTCCTCCTCCTCCTCCTCCTCCTCCTTCTCCTCCTCGTTTTCCTCCTCCTCCTGCTCCCCCTTCCCCGCCCTGGTCCTTGTGTTTCCTCCTCCTGCTGCTTTTGCTCCTTCCCCTCCCTTCTCAGTAGCCACCCGGGGGAAGAGGGCACAGAAGTTGCCCAAGACGTCCCGAAGGGCGCCCAGGAGCGCCCCAGGAAACCTGGAAGCGGCAAGCGTGCGGGCTTCAGGGGGCGCCGCTGGCTCACAGCGCCCTCTCGTTCCTTCGACATCCAGCAGGATGGCCCAACAAGGGCCCAGCAGGACTCCAAGATGGGCGAGGGGTCGAGAGCTCTGGGGCCCGCGGGCTAAAGAAACTGCCTCGTCTGATGTCTAGTGTCTGGTGTCGTCGTCGGCGACGTCGTCGTCGTCGTCCTCTCGTCGACGTGGTCGTCGTGGAGGTCGTGGTCGTGGTCGTGGTCGTGGTCGTGGACGTTGTCGTCACGTCGGCATGGTCGTGATCATCGTGGTCGTGGCCATCGTCGTCCTCGCCAGGGTCGTGGTCGTGGTCGTGGTCGTGGTCGCAGTCGTCGTCGTGGTCGTCATCATGGTCGTGGTTGTCGTCCTCTCGTCGTCGTCATTGTCGTCGCCGTCGTAGTCATGGCCGTGGACGTGGTCGTTGTCGTGGTCTTCGGCCTCTCGTCGTGATCGCGGCCGTGGTCGTGGTGGCGGTCGTGGTCGTCGTCCTGGTGGTCGTGGTCGTCTTCGTCGTTCTCTCGTCGTGGTCGTCATCGTACTTGTCGTGGTCGTGGCCGTGGTCGTCATCGTGGTTGTGGTCGTGGTCGTGATCGTCGTCGTCCTTTCGTCGTCGTCCTCGTTGTGGTTGTGGTCGTCGTCGTCGGCGTCCTGGTCCTGGTCGTGGTCGTGGTCGTGGACGTCGTCCTCTCGTCGTTGTGGTCGTCGTCGTGGACGTCGTCCTCACGTCGGCGTGGTCGTGATCATCGTGGTCGTGGCCATCGTCGTCCTCACCAGGGTCGTGGTCGTGGTCGTGGTCATGGTCGTGGTCGCAGTCGTCGTCGTGGTCGTCATCATGATCGTGGTTGCTGTCCTCTCGTCGTTGTCGTCGTCGTCGCCGTCGTAGTCATGGTCGTGGTCGTTGTCGTGGTCTTCGGCCTCTCGTCGTGATCGTGGTCGCCGTCGTCGTCCTCGTCGTGGTCGCGGCCGTGGTCGTGGTGGCGGTCGTGGTCGTTGTCCTGGTGGTCGTGGTCGTGGTCGTCGTTCTCTCGTCGTGGTCGGCATCGTCCTCGTCGTGGTTGTGGCCGTGGTCGTCATCGTGGTCGTGGTCGTGGTCGTCGTCGTCCTCGTTGTGGTTGTGGTCGTCGTCGTGGACGTCGTCCTCACGTCGGTGTGGTTGTGGTCATCGTCGTCGGCGTCCTGGTCCTGGTCGTGGTCGTGGTCGTTGACGTCGTGTTCTCGTCGTCGTGGTCGTCGTCGTCCTCGTCGTGGTCCTCGCCGTCGTCATCGTCGTGGTGGTCGTTGTGCTCCTCTTGGTGGTCGTGGTTATGGTCGTGGTCGTGGTCGGTGTCTTCGTCGTGGCCGTGGTCGTGGTCGTGGTCGTTGTCGTCATCGTCGTCGACGTCGTCGTCGTCGTGGTTGTCGTCATCGTCGTCCTCGTCGTGGTCGTGGTCGGTGGCATGGTCGTCATCGTCGATGTCGTCGGCGTCGTCCTCTTGGAGTCGTGGTCGTCGTCGCCGTGGCCGTGGCCGTGGTCGTCGTCGTCGTCGTCGTCCGCGTAGTGGTCATGGTTGTGGTCGTGGTCGTCGTGGGCGTGGTCGTCGTCGTGGTCAGTGTCGTGGTCGTGGTCGTGGTCGTCGTCGTCGTCGTTATCGTCGTCGTATCTCAGGCGTCGTCGTCGTGACATCGTCATTGTCGTGGCCGTGGTCGTCGTCGTCATCGTCGTCGTGGTCGTCGTCGCCCTTGTCGTGGTCGTGATCGTGGTTGTCGTGGTCGCGGTCGTCGTCGTCGCAGTCGTGGTCGTTGTCTGACGAGGCCGTGGTCGTCGACGTTGTCCTCTCGTTGTCGTGGTCGTCGTCGCCGTGATCTCGGTCGTCGTCGTCGTCCTCGTCGTGTTTGTGGACGTGCTCATGGTCGGTATCGTGGTCGTGGTTGTGGACGTGCTGTTGGTCGGTATCATGGTTGTGGTCGTGGTCGTCGTACTCTCGTCGTCGTGGTCGTCGTCGTGGTCGTCGCCGTCGTCTTGGCTGTGGTCGTGGTCGTGGTCGTGATCGTGGTCGTGATCGTTGTCGTGGTCGTCGTCGTCGTCGTCGTTGTGATCGTGATCGTGGTCGTCGTCGTAGTCGCGGTCGCGGTCGCGGTCGTGGTCGAGGTCATCGCCGTCGTCGTCGTCGGGGTCGTCGTCGTGGTCGCCGTCGTCCGCGTCGTGGTCTTGGTCGTGTTCGTGGTCTTGGTCGTGGCCGTGATCTTGATCGTGGTCGTCGTCGTCGTCGGCGTCGTCGTCCTCTTGTCGACGTGGACGTCGTCGTGGTCGTCGTCCTCACGTCGGCGTGGTCGTTATCATCGTGGTCGTGGATATCGTCGTCCTCGCTGTGGTCGTGGTCATGGTCGTGGTCATGGTCGTGGTCGAAATCGGCGGCTTGGTTGTGATCATTGTCGTGGTGGTCGTCCCCTTGTCGTCGTCATCGTCGTCGCCGTCGTAATCATGGTCGTGGTCGTGGTCGTCGTCGTGGTCTTCGGCCTCTCGTCGTGATCGTGGTCGCCGCCGTCGTCCTCGTCGCCGTGGACGTGGGGGCGGTCGTGGTCGTTGTCCTGGTGGCCGTGGTCGTCGTCGTCGTCCTCTCGTCGTCGTGGTCGTCGTCCTCGTCGTGGTCGTGGTCGTGGTCGTCGTGGTCGTGGTCGTGGTCGGCTGCGGTCGTGGTCGTTGTCGTGATCGTCATCGTCGTCAGCCTCTCGTCGTCGTCCTCGTTGTGGTTGTGGTCGTCGTCGTCGTCGTCCTGGTCCTGGTCGTGGTCGTGGTCGTGGACGGCGTCCTTTCGTCGTCGTGGTCGTCGTCGTCCTCGTCGTCGTTATCGTCGTGGTGGTCGTCGTGATCCTCGTCGTGGTCGTGGTTATGGTCGTGGTCGTGGTCGGTGTCTTCGTCGTGGCCGTGGCCGTTGTCGTCGTCGTGGTCGTCATCGTTGTCGTCGTCGACGTCGTCGTCGGTGTCGTCGTCCTCGTCGTTGTCGTCGTCGTGGTCGTGGTCGTGGCCGGTGGCGTGGTCGTCATTGTCTCTCGTCGTCGTCGTCGTCCTCTTGGCGTCGAGGTCGTCGTCGCCGTGGCCGTGATCGTGGTTGTCGTCGTCGTCTTCGTAGTGGTCGTGGTCGTCGTCGTGGTCGTCGTGGGCTAAGTCGTCGTCGTGGTCAGTGTCGTGGTCGTGGTCGTGGTCGTCGTGGTCGTCGTCGTGATCGTAGGCGTCGTCGTCGTCGTGGCCGTCGACGTGACATCGTCATTGTCGTGGTCGTGGTCGTCGTCATCCTTGTCGTGGTCGTGGTCGTGGTCGTCGTGGTCGTGGTCGTGGTCGTCGTGTTCGTTGTCTGGGTCGTAGACGTGGTCGTGCTCGTCGACGTCGTCCTCTCGTCGTCGTGGTCGTCGTCGCCGTGATCGTCGTGGTCGTCGTCGTCCTCGTCGTGTTTGTGGACGTGCTCGTGGTCGTGGTTGTGATCGTCGTCGTCGTACTCTCGTCGTCGTGGTCGTCGTCGTGGTCGTCATCTTGGTTGTGGGCGTGGTCGTGATCGTGGTCGTGATCGTTGTCGTGGTCGTCGTCGTCGTTGTCGTCATGGTCGTGATCGTGGTCATCGTCGTGGTCGCGGTCGCGGTCGCGATCGAGGTCGAGGTCGTCGTCGTCGTCGTGATCGTCGTCGTGGTCGCGGTCGCGGTCGTGGTCGTGATCGTGGTCGTCGTCGTCGTCGTCGTGGTCGTCGTCGTGGTCGCCGTCGTCCGCGTCGTGGTCTTGGTCGTGGTCGTGGTCTTGGCCGTGACCGTGATATTGATCGTGGTTTCCGTCGTCGTTGGCGTCGTCGTCCTCTTGTCGTCGTGGGCGTCATCGTCGTCATCGCGGTCGTGATCGCGGTCGTGGTCGTGGTAGTGGTCGTCATGGTCGTGGTCGTGGTCGTGGTCGTCGTCGTCCTCTCGTCGTTGTGGTCGTCGTCGCCGAGATCGTGGTCGTCGTGGTCGTCGTCGTCCTTGTCGTGGCCGTGGTCGTTACCGTGATCGTGGTCGTGGTCCTCGTCCTCTCGTCGTCGTCGTCGTCGTCGTCGTCGTCGTCGTCCTCGTCGTGGTCGTCCTCGTCCTCGTCGTGGTCGTGGTCGTGGTCGTTGTTATGGTCGTCGTCGTCGTCGTGGTCGTCGTCGTCATCGTCGTGGTCGAGGTCGTCGTGGTCGTTGTCGTCGTCGTCTTCGTCGTCCTCCTTGTCGTGGCCGTCGTCGTCATCGTCGTCGTCGTCGCTCTCTCGTCGTGGTCGTGGTCGTCGTCGTGGTCGTGGTCGTCGTCGTGGTCGTCGTCCTCGTCGTGGTCGTGGACGTGGTCGTCATCGTTGTCGTCGTCCTTTCGTCGTCGTGGGCGTTGTCGTCGTCATCATTGTCGTGGTCGTGGTTGTGGTCGTCATCGTCCTTGTCGTGGTCGTGGTCGTGGTCGTGGTCGCGGTCGTCGTCGCGGCGTCGTCGTCGTGGTCGTCGTCGTCCTCGTCGTCGTCGTCGTCGTCCTCCTCCTCGTCGTAGGCGCCCTGCAGTGGGCCGCGCCGTCGGAGCGCACACGGTGGAGGACCCTGGAGGACCTCCGCCCGTGCTTGACGGTCAACGTCCTCGGGGACTGGCGCCCTCGAGGGCCTCCCCCGACGCCCCTTCAGCTGCAGTGCCAGGGCGCGCTCGTGCGCGAGATGCGCAGGAGATAATCGGAG